TATATATATAAATAAAGACAATATGATTATTACAGGAATAATTATTAATGAATATCGAACATGACAATACCTTTATCGACAATAAATAATGATCGCCAGAATGCTGTTTCTTGTTCCACGAAGAAAAAGTTGACTATACAGAGTAAACAATTAATTAGGCGAGTAATGATCAGATGCATATATTTATATTTTCACATTATATTTTTGTACAGAATATCTGAATAAGAAAAAATAAAAAAAAAGGGAAACATACGACATAAAATACCAAATGCGCATGGAGATAAATAATTTATATGTATTCACAGGTACATTATCGATTCTTAAATATAAAAATTGTCAGCTCTTAACGTGGAACAAGATCAGTAACAAAAGTTACATAGAAAGAACTTCAATGCAGTCTATAATCGATAAAAGATAGTTCATCACAGTTTGTGTTGTCTTCCTTCGCCAAAGAGGCATAGGCAAGCTCTGTCGACTACATACGCGAAGACAAAGTCTGCGACTAGTATTTGAACCAGTGTCGTACGGAACTGTAACACGCAAGTATTATAAATACAAGTATTATAAATAGCAAATAGATTCAACAGCAAATAAATTGCATTAAGTTTAGTTATGTACTTGCGCGTAAAACTTACTTGGCTTGGAAAGTCTACAATCTCGAACTGCATCGCAAAATTCGGCAAGAATCCACAAGCTAGTAATAAAATAACGGCAAAATTGCCCACGAGACTGAACAAGAGAGTTCTATTTTGTGTTAAACTTTCCATGAATGGCTTGCCCTGACAGAACGTAATATAATTAGTGTTTGTCGTATAATGATATCGCATTTTTTAATTGTATAATAGAATATAATGGACAACTTACTCGATAATTTATAGCAAAAGTAGAAACTTGAAAACACATTGCGATTATGTATACAGTACTATTAATTAAATTTGCCTCAAACGGTTCTTCCTCAATACTATCATTTTCATCTAATGAATTCACTTCATTGGTAGTATTAAAGATGGTTGCCAATTTATCATCCCTGTAAAAGAAGTAATTTGAAGAACAAGGTCCAATGATTCCGATTAATACAACTTACTTTGGAGATAAAATCGTAGCTTCTTTCACCAAATAAACGAGACAGATGAAATGTACAGTAAATTGCAATAATACAGTTGCAATGGTGTACAAATTAAAGATATTTGGTAATGGTCTTTGCTGCGAAAGAGTTTTCAGCGGTTTTGATCGCGAGATAAAAAGGAAACATGCCGCCAGAAGGACGCCTTGCAAAGTCGCCTGCGCGTCACTAAATTTGATTCCATCTAGATATAATACTGACTGACTGTAGGCGAGTATCAATGCATTTAGAGCCAGTATTTTGAACATCTGCAGGGTGGTGACTAGTGTGCAGCGTCCCTGCTTGATCACATGACATACTGCAAGTATACAAATATTTGTATTTCCGAGGAATAAATAAATTCAATAATATCCCGTGATCCTTACTGCATTGAATGGATGACATTTTGCTGGTAAAGGGAGCCGCGATAGAAGCGTCACCGAGTTTCACAATCACGGGTGGCTCTTGTACCTCGTTATCAATATCCTTTAGGAACTTCTGCAGCTTTGCACGAGAACCCGTCGATGTCATTCTCGAATTATTTCTTGGCCCATTGTTTGTGAGCGACATCAAATTATCGTTCTTTGGATCTTCTCGCTTTTCAGTAACCACGGACGGACTGGACAAAATTGCCACACCTACCAGAGAAAAAGAAAGAAAAACAAGTATATTCAAATTTTATCACACTCTTTTCGTCAACTTACCCACTTGTGCGTGTTTCAAAGCTCCGACATCATTCGTTCCGTCACCGCACATCAACGTCGTATAGCCTAAAGATTGTAGTGATATAATAATGAATTCTTTTTGCTTCGGTGCACATCGTGCAAATATTATGACGTGTGGCAAGAGTTTCCAAAGAAGTCCCCGTTCTTTTTCCTTCAGATACGATAAACCCTAGAAAAGTTAATTATGCAATAACAAACGATCATTGTAAAAAAAATCGACATTTTTGTTCATTTACGTACTTCACCCGTCACGCAAAGCGCATATTCTTTCCAGATCTCTTTTCGCGATTCAATATTTTTCATGCTTAGAGGGAGCTGCGTTTTTTTGTCTATGCTTTCCCACAACCATTCGCCATC